TGTGCCCCTAGAGTTTTCACAAAGATTATGAAACCTCTGATTGCCTCTTTAAGACAGAGAGGCCATGAGTCATGTGATTACATTGACGATTCATTGTTGCTAGGTTCAACCATTCACGAGTGTAGAACTAATGTTAAAGCTCGTCTGACCCTTACTAAAGAGCTAGGGTTTATTATCAATGCTCAGAAATCGATTCTAGAACCCACACAGACCATTCAGTTTCTTGGGTTTATTCTGAATTCTGTCAACATGACCATTGCGATTCCTGTCCTTAAAGTACAGAAAATCGTTACAGCCATTGATAATTTGATCACGATGCCACGCCCAAAAATACGGGACGTTGCACATGTGATAGGGCTTTTGGTGTCTTGCGAGATAGCCGTGCCATACGGTGCTTTATTCAGAAGATCCATTGAAGTGGATAAGAATGAAGCTTTATCTCTTAATGCCAACAATTTTGATGCAAGAATGTCTTTATCTGACAGAGCCAAGACAGATTTAAGTTGGTGGCATGCTAATTTACAGTATGCAAATGCCCCCATTCACAGAAATAACCCAAATTTCTTTGTTGAATGTGACGCATCCAAAAGTGGTTGGGGTGCTCAATGCAATGGTCAGGTATTAGGCGGACAATGGTCTGCCACAGAAATTGATTTCCATATCAATTATCTTGAGCTCAAGGCATGCTTTTTTGCTTTGCAGTCCCTTTTCAATAAACACAGGGACATCCATGTTCACCTAAAAACGGACAACACAACAGTTGTTTCGTATATTCAGTATTTTGGTGGCATACATTCCCCTCAGTTAAATGAACTTGCTAGGGAAATTTGGTTATGGTGCATGGCCAGAAAGATATGGCTATCTGTATCGTATTTGCCTGGGGTTGATAATGTGATGGCAGACTTTGCCTCACGCAATTTCCACGAAGATATAGAATGGAAATTACACCCAGACGTTTTCCGCAAAATTATTGCGAAATTCATGGTGCCTGACATTGACATGTTCGCGTCAAGATTGAATTATCAAATTCAGCCATATGTATCATGGCAACCTGATCCGAGTGCACTCAGTTATGATGCATTTACACTGGACTGGTCTGACTACAAAGTGTATGCATTTCCCCCATTCTGTCTAATTGGGAAAGTTTTGGCGAAAATTGAATTCGATGAATCAATCGCCATACTCATTGCCCCACGATGGCAAACACAAGTCTGGTTTCCAAAAATGTTGAAACTACTCACAAACAAGCCAGTTATTTTGCCTAAAAGGGCTGATATACTTTCGCTTCCTTCCTCAGGCAGACTCCATCCGTGGCAAGAGCGGCTACAACTGATGGCATGCCATTTGTCCGGGAAAACCTGCAACGTCAGGGAATTTCACAAGACGCTGCCGACATTATCATCGCCTCTTGGCGACCTGCAACCAAGAAATCTTACAGATCAGCGATCCAAAAGTGGATTTTATTCTGTGCTCGGGGACAAATTAATCCCGTTCGAGCACCTGTAACAGTTGTTCTTGATTGCCTAACTGAAGAATTTCATAAGGGTAACAGTTATAGCTCAGTGAATACCCTACGTAGTGCCATATCGGCAATCGTAGTTCCGATAGATGTGAGTCCTATTGGATCACATCCATTGGTTAAAAGATTCATGACAGGTGTGTTTAATTTGAGACCTGCTATGCCAAGATATAATTTTACTTGGGACGTACATATTGTTTTCAAGTACCTAAAAGAATTAGGTCCTGGAGAAAAGTTGCCTTTAAAAGGGCTTACAATGAAACTTGTTATGTTGATTGCATTGATTTCAGGACAAAGGTGTCAAACATTATCTTTGCTTGATTTAGATCAGGTCAATGTCACTCGAAGTAATGTGACTTTTGTTGTTACTAAGTTAACAAAGACCAGTAGAGTTGGCAGTAAGCTAATAAGTGTGGTGCTGTCAGAGTACCCGCACGATGAACACCTATGTGTTATAAAAACACTTAGAGAGTATCTGATTAAAACTAGAACTTTCCGAGGACGAGAAAGGAGTTTGTTTTTGAGTTATACTTCCCCTCACAAGCGTGTAGGGTCCGAGACAATTTCTCGTTGGATCAAGATGACACTGCAAGATGCAGGTATTGACATAGGTAGATTCAAGGCTCATAGTACTAGATCTGCTGCATGTAGTGCAGCTTTGCAAAGGGGAGTTCCCCTGGATGTCATAATGACTACTGCCCAATGGGCAAGGAGTAGTACTTTTGCTAAGTTTTATAATAAAACTATTGTACCAGCAAGTCAGAAGTTTGCTGACGCTGTTTTGAGTTGTGAAGCAAAATAGGCTTCGAATGTTTGTTTTCTGAATAAATATACAGAAATATCAGAAATGAATTGTTTATTGTACGACTCTTTTTTGTCGTTTGTTTGCCCGTTGCATGCATGGGCTCTAAATTTCTCATGTAAGTCCGAAGTGGAGGTGATTATGAGGTAGAATTTAAAAATTAAACGAATGAAATGAAGTTTAATTAGAATTCTACCGATTGAATCACCGACACTGAAGGACTTACACCCTCCACAATTGGTATATGTACTGCTATCATGCATTCCCCACCCCTTTTATATGCACCGGGCATTTTCATAAAAATGTCTTGAGGCGTGCAGGGCGTGGTGGCCCTTTATAGGGAAGAGAGTCTATTCAAAATCTCTCAACCGTGACTAATCCTCCGGTGGAAAGTGTAATCTCATGTAAGTCCTTCAGTGTCGGTGATTCAATCGGTAGGATTCTAATTAAACTTCATTTCATTCGTTTAATTTTTAAATTACTTGTGCTCTGCTATGTGAAATTGCTTAGGCGATTTGTGTACAAAGTCTGTGTAGCTGTACTGGGGTTGCGCTGGTGTGTGTAGCTGAATTCTGGCTTACACACACGGCGTAGCGAGTACCCTGCTAACGGACTGTATACATTGCTAAGCGGCTGTTGTGTGCTTGTAACGCTGTGTATTGCCGACTCAGTGATTCATTCCTAGCGCTGTGCATAGTTGCTCATTGCTGCCATTGTTGTCTGGTGCTTAATGCTGTGTGCGTTGTTGCATAGGAAAGCAGCGGGCTTTCTCCAGTAACTAAGGACCCTGTTAATAAAACAACCCACCGAATCACATCCTAATTGTTGTACTTGATTGTTGTTGAATAAATTACGATCATTGTTGTTTGAGATTACCGACAATTCTGCTTCCAGTGTTTATGTTTACAGGTTTATTGTGCAATTAATTAACAGAGATAACTAATCAACACTCATTCATAATCGGGCGGCAGATTTGCACCAAAACGGACCTGCACCCTTAGCCTTGAAGGTCGCTCTGAGTGATCTCTCGTCTAGGGAAGAGCCTTGGTTTGGGAAGATTGTCTTCACCCCACTAGGAGTCAGACTTATCCTAACAGACTTGGGTTGGCCCGGGGGGTTCCCGCCACAGTAGGTTACTCTTTGAGATAAATGCCAAATGATCCTTTATTGTTCTATGGGCTCCGTGCACGAACTAAGAGGGCGCCCTATTACCTAGCAACGACGGCCTATGGGCGGGACCATTGATCTCCATAATTATATACAGATTATATTATGGAGATCAATGGGTGGGACACATACGTGTACATTTGGCTGGTTGAAACGCGCGCACCGTTCCTTGTGTGTGTGACGCACGTACACCAGGGGATTTGTACTATGTACTATGTACATATACACCATAGAGCTATATTAAATTACAGCTCTATGATGTACACGTAGTGGCCGCGCTTCAATTCGCGGCAAAAATATTGCAGTCAGGCAAGACGGCGTCGTTCGGTCACCACAACTGTACTTTCTTTGCCGGTGAGGGGGTACTTGTGAACGGAGCGGATAGCTCCATGATGATTGCTCTTGAAAATCAAATTGCCAAAATGTAAAAAAGAAAAAAAAGAAGAAATAAAAAATAAAACGCGGGGCCTTGAACCCACTTTTATGGGGACCAATTTCTTTCTTGCCCCCTCCCAATATTGTGTTCTGGATCCGCCCTTGACCTTCTCCAGTTTGGGTTGGAGAGTACCGTCATAACATCTAGCTACATCTGGGAGATCTGGGACTATATAGTTTGATCATTCTGGGCATGCATAGAATTACCAAAAATGAACCTGGTTTTGTGCAGGTCATTGTGTTCGATAGAATAGGGGCTTAGTTTTGAGTCAAAGAAACTTGTCTGGCAATTTAATCAAATCAGAAATATACGCTAGAATATTGTTAAATTTCAATGCGTCACTGTCTACACAATAATTTACAAAACATAAGTGTACACAGGCCCGGTTCTACGGGGGGGGGGGGGGGGCTGGGGGGGGGGGGCTTACCCCCCAAAAAATTAAATTCCGTAAAAAGAAATTGCATTAGCAAAAGAAGGATTGTGATGTACATGCGAACGGTCTCCCCCTAAAGAAATAGTCGTGACAAGGGTGCATTTGTAGTTAATATAGTGTGAATGATTTTAGGATTTTATTGGGCTCCCCATTGAAAATATGGCATGACCCCCCCCCCCCCCGGAATAAAAATAAATTCCGTAAAAAGAAATTGCATTATCAAAAAGAAGGATTGTGATGTACATGCGAACGGTCTCCCCCTAAAGAAATAGTCGTGACAAGGGTGCATTTGTAAGTTAATATAGTGTGAATGATTTTAGGATTTTATTGGGCTCCCCATTGAAAATATGGCATGACCCCCCCCCCCCCCCCCCTATTGATTTTCGGAGGCCTAAGTGTCTGGAGAAAATAACCGGTCTACATTTCAGCACGCCTCCCTGAAAAAAATTCTTGATCCACCCTGCTAGCCCCCCCCCCCCCCAATATTGGTTCTAGAACCGCGCCTGCGTGTACATCACACCACTTAATAATAATAATAACAATATCGGAGTTTTGGGATTGATGACAGGACTCTCTAACCATTTACTGAAAAGTATAGTTGCTGAACAAAAAATGTTATTAAAAAAAGGCGCCGGGGGGGGGGGGGGGGGGGCGCGGAGTGCACACTCTGCCATCCCCCCTCTGGATACGCCACTGTTGGAGAGTTATGAGGAGAATTTTTAAGCACAGGGCGAGGCTGGTCGTAATATGGATTAAATTGCGCCAGAGGCTAGAAACAGGGACCATTAGAAAATGCACGCAAACGGGATACGTATCCGCACGAAACAAGTAGCCTTTAAATCACCATTTTGGGGTGAAAATTTCACAAAATTTACACAACACATTTGGATTTTGAGGTGAGGTGTACATTGTCGATTGTGTACCAGATTAAATAATAACACAAAATGCTGATATAAGGGCGACGTCACTATAGTTTTCAGATCCCATACCCGTACGCGTAGTTCCGTGAAACAAGTGGTTTGGAACATGACAACGGTGTTGATGAAATTTAACATTTTGTTTTTATACAATTGTTTTGTGATCTCATCTAAATGCCTTTATTTGAGTTTTTTTTACCACAATTTGATCTTTTGAAGGACTTGCCAGCAGTCTTTTCTGAATCGTTTGTTTGCAAGTCCGTAGATAACTGGGTTCACGGCGTTGTTGACGAACAGAAGGGCGGTCGAATCTCCCAGTATTCTCATAAATGTCGGGTTGATCGGTGTTTCGAGTCCAAAGGAGGCAAACTCCAGGACAACAGACGTCCAATAGGGCAGCCAGAGCAGCAGGAACACCACACTAGTGATGAAGAGCATCCTTGTCGTCTTACGCTGTAGATTTACCCCTTTGAGATTGCGGGGTCGTTCTTCGCTTACTGGCTGAAGTTTGCGTGTATATTTCTCCCCGGCAGCATCAAGGGAGGGGCCGGGAATTCCCCGAGACGAGGAGGGTGCGTCAGTAGTCTTATCGGTAGCACTGATGTTAGGTGATGGATCGGTGTGCGTAGTCACAGGAACAAGTATTATGTTGGTGTCACAAGTCTTTGACACAGCGGAGCGAGCTGTCATCAAGTCGGGCATACCAGCCACCGCTGGACCCCGCATGGTTTTCGCAAGGACACCCACTCTGACGTGCTTCCGAATGGTTACATAGACCAGTCCGTAGCACACTGCGATCATGACCAATGCAGTCCCAAAACAGAGAACCTGAAATGCCAACACGAGCATCCTCAGGACCGCATCGGAAGGATCGGTGATCATCGCAATGAACGCCGGAATGTTGATGGCGAACGAAAACGAAAGTGCCATGCAGACTGCTGCCTGGGCCCGTCTCTTGGTGAAGAATCGGTTGTGCGCTCGGCACACACAGTCGTAGCGATCTGCTGCGATAACTGCGGTGAACAGAACGGATGCTCCGCCGCTCGTCGTCGTCAATGTCCAGATGATGTGAAGAACCTTTGGGATCTGGCCTCCAGCTAACAGGATGGATTCTACCGAAATGCGTCGCCACCTCAGAGAGCAGACGGCGAGATCGGCCCAGGCTAAGGCCATGATGAAGATGTGGGTGCTGGTCTTGTGGGTCTTGGTCCAGTACACACGAAGGATGAGGCAGTTACCAGGTACGCCGACTACAAACAAAATCGCATGCACAATCACTTTGAACAGGCTGCCATTGGCAGCAATGGGTGCCTCAGACGACAACGATGGATCCTCAAGAAACTCAGTGGAGTTGGCTACAGACTGGTTTTCCATGGTTTGGGAAAAATAATTCAAGTTTCTTATAAGTGAGCTTATTATATGGTTTGTCAAAGGCTTCGCTTGCACTGCGACTGACAGTGGATCAACTTTTAAGCCTTATAAGACGATGAGGTTTGATCGCAAAGATTCCTTCTTCTGCTTTTAAGATCTCGGTTTGGCAAGCAAACAAGCCTGTCTCTCTCTTAAATATAGATATGTTAATGTGCAAAAAAAAAAAAAAAAAAAAAAAAAACCCAAACAAGCAAATTAATTCAATAAAACAATAAAACTGATTGTGCATCGACAACAACACTCTTAATCAAATTTTCTCGTTGAAAGCAGTGAAGCGGCGGCAATATTAGACTCTCGCATCTTTTTTTTTTTACCCCGGGGATATGTTTAGGCCTACACAAAGAAGCGCACACACTAATTTCGCACAGAACACAGAGCAACCGTCCTATAAGTAAACGCGGTACTGAAATTCTATTCAATCGCCAGGCTTTTAGTGAAAGAAATAAAAACAGAATAAAAAACATCGGCAAGATGAGTTCTTCATTTTGTTATCATATAAACACACAGTATACGGAAAAAAAATCATGTTTAACGTTTCTTGTGCATTAATTTTGAAGCAGAATATAAACATTTTCGATTCTCCAAGGGCCTTATTGTTTCGGGAAGTGCTCTGGGAGATGGTAATACAACAGAGCATAATTGAATTTTCCCAATTAAGAATTTCGCGCGGGTTGATTACTGGGAGTTTCAAATTAATTTTAAAGTTGAGAGTGGCTTGGCTTTTCTCTTTTTTTCCCCTTTCTTCGTTCAACTCTTCTAGCACCATAACTGATGCTATGGTAAAATGTTTACTTGAGGATGGTCAAAATGGTGAGCCAATTTAATTGAATTCAAAATACTTGATATTTATCCATAAAAACAAAATGCATATGGTTGGACAGCTCATTAAAACACTAAGTAAAAGTCGAGTAAATATATAAAACTGAAAACAATCAAAACAACATGAACTTATCTCGATTAAAATTGGTTTCAAACTTCTCGAAATGATAATACTTTATACTCTATGTAAAAAAAAAATAGACGATGAATATACACGACATAAAATGTAAAATGGCAAGTAAAATGAAAAACGCGCTTGAATTCCAAAAACGTCAATTTTTGACGGATTGTTGGAGATCACCTACACTTTTTGATTACTTCTAAATAATCGACAAGCAAGAAGGAATAATCCAAGTATTTTTTTTGTGTGTGAATAGATCGGTAGGTTACTCTTTGAGATAAATGCCAAATGATCCTTTATTGTTCTATGGGCTCCGCGCGCGAACTAAGAGGGCGCCCTTTTACCTAGCAACGACGTCCCATGGGCGGGACCATTGATCTCCATATATACAGATTATATTATGGAGATCAATGGGTGGGACACATACATTTTGCTGGTTGAAACGCGCGCACCGTTCCTTGTGTGTGACGCACGTACACCAGGGGATTTGTACTATGTACACCATAGAGCTATATTAAATTACAGCTCTATGATGTACACGCAGTGGCCGCGCTTCAATTCGCGGCAAAAATATTGCAGTCAGGCAAGACAGCGTCTTTCGGTCACCACAACTGTGCTTTCTTTGCCGGTAAAGGGGTACTTGTGAACGGAGAGGATAGCTCCATGATGATTGCTCTTGAAAATCAAATTGGCAAAATGTAAAAAAAATAAAAAAAAAAAATAAAAAATAAAAAATAAAACTCGGGGCCTTGAACCCACTTTTATGGGGACCAATTTTTTTCTTGCCCCCTCCCAATATTGTGTTCTGGATCCGCCCTTTGACCTTCTCCAGTTTGGGTTGGAGAGTACCGTCATAACATCTTGCTACATCTGGGAGATCTGGGACTATATAGTTTGATCATTCTGGACATGCGTAGAATTACCAAAAATGAATCTGGTTTTGTGCAGGTCATTGTGTTCAATAAAATAGGGGGTTAGTTTTGAGTCAAAGAAACTTGTCTGGCAATTTAATCAAATCAGAAATATACGCTAGAATATAGATGTGTGAGTGAGGAACAGTTGTTTGGGCTTGATATTGGCCGGGGCCGAAACCTCGCCCAAATTCGGGCATTTGACAATGCAGTGCGCCACCAATTAAGAGTCTGCCACGGAGGGTTTTTTTCCCCAGTGCATTGTGGGAGATGGTCGACAAATTCACAGCGCGGGCTATTTGAAAATGTCCGGTCAGTAGTTCCAAAAACTTCAAAAATGGACTCTCCTCGGCAAACTCTTGGTGGCGCACTGCATTGTGAAACGCAGTTGAGAGCTCTGAATGTTTTCTCAAAACAATCTCATAATGTTTGTTATACAGAAAACCTGGCCCAAATTCGAACACTCAACACCGAGCGGAGGAAAGGGGGGGGGGGGGAGGTTTCGCAACCCAGAGTGCATACAGTTATGCTCTGCTGGTGAGGGTGGGCGTTCATCCAACGATCTCCTTCTAGAAGATTGAATCTCGAGAAAAGAGAAAGCTGAAATCCTGTCATGGCCCCGTCAGACTCGAATAATTATAAAGCTTATGCTCGATTTTTGTTTTGGTGAGGAATCATGGTATGCCATGGCACATTGTTGAGCCTATAATTACGTGCGAAAATAAGAGCTAGCCTATTGTTGACAGAATAACCATAACATTATAAGGTTTTAGGCTTTGCATGGTGTAGTATCGGTATTGTTTCGGTTTGCTGTAACACTGACGATGAGGCAGGCTAGTCAAAACGTTGAGACCCAAAGGCAATATATTTTTAGAACTGAAAGAAGGACTGTTCTCATCAGAACTAAAACTACTTAGCGAAAGTTGATAATAAGCAGGACAACTTCTTTTCAGAACTAAATATCACTGAGCAGTAGGTATTACCACATGCTGTTACCGCAAACCGAAACGATAACTATAACATTGCTCAACTAACTATGATGGCTAGACTATAATAAAAAATAACTCGGCGTACTTCACGCAATGCCGATTCCCACGTCTTTTGCCGGAAGTATATCTGATAAAAAACGGCGCCTGAGTGTCTGAGGCCACATTAAAAATGTACGGATTTTCAGATTGTTTTTTTCCCCCTCCCCGTCCACAACACAGTCAACAAATTAGTAAATGCTGCTACAGAAAGAAATACAATTTTATTTTCCATAAGACTTGTGCAGGAACAAAATACAGTTATGTGTGCTGTAAGCTACAACAATAACCCTTGTACTTTCAAAGTAAAGTGCATTTGCAGTTCGAATCATGCTAATGTGGAGTGCTGTGGCCTCGTCGTTAAGGGCACTGGATTCGTGGTCTGTGGGTAAAGCTGCGGGTTATGGGTTCGAGTCCAGCTGGGGTCATGGTGTGTGTGCCCTTGGGCAAGGCACTTTGTCACTCATTGCTTCTCTCCACCCAGGAGTAAATGGGTACATGTGAGGGCAGAGATGGTTATTGTGATTGAATAAGCTTGCCTGCGCCTAACAGGCAGCATCCAAGCTGTATACTCCCCAGGGAGCTGAGATGGTATTTGGAATGTTGGCCCAATGATCAGGGGTATTAATAATAATACTGTAAGCGCTGTGATTTAGTTTACTAATAAGAGCGTTCTTAAGCCGATTATTATTAGTAGTAGTATTAGTATTAATGTGCATCATGAAACTGTTAATAGTTTCTGAAGACATGCACAGGCGAACACCAATTATGCTAGGTTCACACATTCCCAACTTATTGCCACGAGAAACGCCAATCTATCCCGAATAAAAATTATCGATGGCATAAGGATAAAGTAGCCCCGATTCGCTATGTTGTAACAATAACTTAAGAATGAAACAAAAATAATCAAGAACTAGGTACGAAATAGAAGCCGAATCAGACCGAACCAAACGGAATGATTGCAATTTAGTGCAGAATAAAATAGAATTTTAGCGATTTCGTCAAGACTAACATACGAATAACTCAAGAATTATGCCGATTTTGTGTATTTGTAACAGAAGCATCCCGAGGCAACCAAGAACCATTCCCCGATTTACTCAAGAATTGTTATTCGCGGTGATTCGACTTAAAAATTGGGAATGTCTTAACCCTAAAAGGGCCGGGCTATTTTGACCACCTGTCAGCCGGGGGATTCTGCCCCCCCCCCCCCCCCCCCCCCCCAAGATCTCGGCCATCGAGTGACGAAAAATTATGAAATTTGGTACATGCAGAGAACACCTATTCATAAACATACCCAAGAAATATGATGACTATAGGTCAAAGGGTTTTGGAATTATGGCTAATTAATTATTTATATGCACGAATGGTAATTCTGCTCTGTGTATACGCTATACGTATATGGGGAAATTCAGTTTTCACGGCGGGTAGCATCGGAAGATTTTTCACTGCGCGGCAACCCGTGGTCCGAATTTTATGTTGTTGGTATCAAAAGATGCGCAAGGCTGGAGGCTAAAAAGTCAGAACAGCTCGGGTCGCGAAAAAAAATGGTTAAGGCCATCGCGGAAAAAGCTGGGGGGGGGGAGTTAACCTAGCATTAGTCACTTGAAGTTAGAAAGCGTAACATTAAAAAAAAAGAGTACAAAAATAACAACAAAATAAACTGTGTGCGAAATATTAAAAGGAATATACATTAACGTGCTCAAACATTCGTTATTAGTAAGTCTATTCGTCCTATAATGTGTTTTAAAGGTTTGTTTATGGTCTGTGAAGACTAGAAAAAAACCACATTTGTAATTCACGACCTAAACCATTGCTGCAATTTTGTCTTCATCCAAATCGGCCATTGTATCCGCATGTACATGGGTCGTATGCGGACATACAGCTTGCATCAATTCAGCACTACTGCTGTAAGGAATCTTCACCATTATGCTGCAACTCGCAGGAATCCTAGAAATAAATAAAAAATAAAAGAGACATAGGAGCTGTAAGTTTGGTAACGATATTATACAAATCATACAAATTGGAAGGATGCAGTCTTAAAGAGTACAGTGACTGTTGGGGGACATCTGCGGCCTTTTGTAGTTTTTTAATCTACCTTTGCAGGTTTTGTGCTGAGTGATTTACAAAAGCTGCGGGGACTAAGCAGGATAACAGGCAAATAATAAGAATACGTGGTGTGACGTCATGCTATATAACATTCTGTTTGCTGCCCGCAACGACGGCGTTTAGAAAAGGGGCACCAGTTGGATAAACGGTACTTCAAAAAGCAGCTCTGAAAAGTGTTTACATTTTGTTTTATGGCAGATATAACTGTCCGTTCTTATGGTTTTATATTGTAATATAAAAAAATAAAATGACGCAGATGTCTCCCAGCAGTTACCCATGATCCTCTTTAACGCCAGGTAAAGTGTCGCTGTTTGACTGGAACGCGTTTTGACCTCTCTTTAATCAACCATTGGGGGTGTTTAGGCGTCCGTAATGCGAGTGTTGACCCCTAATCACAAATTTTTCTGCCAAATGAGATTTTCAAAGAGATGAACTATCACCAGCACATTTGGGTGGGGCGGTAAAAACTGTGACTGCACAATATTAAACGTATTTCCGGAGCATTTAATATAGGTAGAGAAAAAGTCCGTAGAATTTATGTTCGTAATTTGAAAAATTTATGATAGACCTGTTGAGACAAGACTTATTCCTTGATGATTTTACTATGCTTCACGTGATCAGTAAAATAAGCTTAGGGTACTATACAGCTAGGAAAACTGGATAGAAAACTTTCCACACAGTTTGACCTATACTTAATAATAGGCCCAAGACCTAATGACGTGTTGTTTACATGTGCTCTTTCCTATGTGGTAGACGGTCCTTATAATCGTCTGGCATCCCGACTTCGCTCCCATAGGAGGCACATATGTAAAACAAAAAAAAAGCCATTACGTCATTAGGTCCTAGGTAATATTGATACACCTCGCTTGAGCCTGTACATTCCAGACCTTTCCCCACTTACAAGTTAGAAAGGGCGTAGATTCCGGGTGGGATTACCCCCAACACCAACCTCGTCCCCAGTGCTTACTTTATTTCCAACCTAGTTTCCAATAGTAAACCCTGGATAGGAAACTTTCTTCCTGCATCCTGATTCGATACGGCAATTGGCTAGTAATGGATTTTTCTCGTGTACTTGGTTTTGTTATTCACAACGTGCAGTACGTGTTTTCGCGATTATTCGTCCAAGCCTTCTCAAAAAAACTAATTTCCTTCCCAGTTTGTTCATATTAATATGAAATGTGATACTATATGTTGTCTCGGTAAGATCGTAACAATAATTTAATTAAATAAATCGTAACTCACGTTATGCTCGCGCTGCGACGAATTGACTCTGCTTTAACCCCAGACACCGCATACAAAAACAAACGCAAATGTAACGCACAAGCAGGCACCAGACTATTCCTCATTTGCATACGCGTTCAAAAATCTTGCACATGCAAATGATCCAATACCAGGGTGAGAGAGCAGGTAGTGATGGGCGCGTACTGCTCGACACCCTGGGGTCGAGGTTGCCCCAACACTTTTTTGAACTGGGGATGGGCCACTGAATTATCCCCCCCCCCATTCGAAGAAATAAATAGATAGAAAAGAGGAACATTTAAAGAAGAGGCCAGAATCAATGCGGAAATGTATATTTCGCGAAATATTCCCACTAGCAATTGTCGTAGAGGGATAATAATAATGATGCTCAATAATTTATACCCACCCAACGCGCGTGTTACTTTAAAGAGCGCTCGATAGTGTTAGAAGATGTCCGACGACCCCCACCTCCGACGCCCCCTCCTTTTTTGAAAATGTCCACGGTCGGTTAGTTTACGAAATTTCACCATCATCTTGAACAGCTGCAGCCAGATGCTTTATACATAGGTCATAGGCCACTTCCTTCAAAAGATTCTGTGAAGCTCCAACCTCGTCCCCAGTGCTTACTTTATTTCCAACCACGTTTCCAATAGTAAACCCTGGATAGGAAACTTTCTTCCTGTATCCTGATTGGATACCGCAATTGGCTAGTAATGGATTTTTATCGTGTACTTGGTGCTATATATTCACAACGTGCAGTACGTGTTTTCGCGATCATTCGTCCACGCCTTCTCGAAAATACTAATTTCCTTTCCAATTTGCTCATATTAATATGAAATATGATACTGCATGTTGTCTTAATAAGATCGTAATAGTTTGATTTCAAAAATCGTGTTTTCGTAACTCACGCCGTGCTCGCGCTGCTACGAATTGACTCTGTTTTTACCCCAGACACCGCATACAAAAACAAACGCCAATGTGTAACGCATATCCAGGCACCAGACTGTTCCTCATTTGCATACGTGTGCAAAAATCTTGCACATGCAAATGATCCAATACCAGGGTGAGAGAGCAGGTACTGGTGGGCGCGTACTGCTCGACACCCTAAAGACGAGGTTGGTGAAGCTCATCAGAGTATCCCAGCGTCCTGTTTGCAGGGCGGGGGGGGGGGGGGTACGAGCGAAGGGTAACCCGTGCGACAGTCTACTACGCATGCGTACTTAGCCTGTGCATCAATGCTCGCGCGCGCGTTTGGTAAACAGCAAAAATAACATTTGGCACGTGATGGTGAATGGACCAATGGGAATTCGACTTTCGGTCATGAATATGTATGAGCCTTAATACTTTGTGAGCCGCGGCGTGAATGGGAGCAATAACAAATGTCACGTGATGTTAGTTCCATCAATCATAATGACAAGAATGTGGATTAAACGAAACGACTCGTCATCAAGCTTTGCCTTAGTGTGATGATTAACGTTTCCTTGAAACTCAGGCCTCTGTAAGACTGACAAACGTATCTTACCAAGAGAAGAAGAACATCTTGGATTTAAGTTGACCATCGTCTTTGCGTTCCTGCCAATCGAACACGGCGAAACGTAGTTCCCCGGATCCAGTCAAATCACGAACAAAATCCGCGTAGGCGCCGCCCTCGGCTTCCGACTCGATGACAGTCTGGCCTCCAGTGATTTTGGAGATGAACCATTTCCGGTCTTTACTTTTAACCCTATCGTATGCGTCTTTAAACGCTTGGTTGGGAGCTACGCCAGACTGGAAAAGAAAAGAAAACAGCTAGCGATGATTAGGCAAAGGGACAAAAACATGTTTACAATCATGCCTTTTCAAAAAGCCAAGGGGCCCCTTGTTCTCGTGCTGCAGAGACTACCAAGCAGCATTTTCCAAAATGCAAACTTTTCAAGATGGCTTCCGTCTATTGTGGAGTCCCTTAAATCGATTCAAAACATGCCTTTTAAAGGTACTTCCTTTCTTCTTTATGCATTTTCGTATGTATTATTCCGGAGCTCTGTGAAACGCTAAACATGTTTACTTTGCCAGTACATAAGGGTACAATGGCCAATTGTTCTTCATAGATCCACTGCTTCTAGGAAACCGAAGAAAAAAAAGAGTTCAGTGTGGCTTTGTGATCGCTGATAGGATCAACCTGCCACGGTGGCGAGGATGATGCCTACCTCATTGACCCAACGGCCTTACAGTGGTCAAGAGTTCAAGTCGGCGTGAAATGCCATTCTGTCGTCTGCAACTTGACTATAAAGTAAAGTTTAAGCTCACCATTTTTCTGTGCAGCGAATATTCTTCGGTTTTCGTCTGTTTCACGATCTCGACTTTACCTATACGGCAAATCCAAACATTCATGCATGTTAGTGTGAGTATAGTGGGATATTCAGTACCTTAAGCCCCAGTCACACTTTCACGGTTGGAGCAACGAATATCCACGGTTTACCCAGAATCAATTGATCACGATGAACCGTCGAGAATCGTGGAGAAATCGACTTTATAAGAATGCACTACGGTTTCAGGACGGATAGCCACGACTGTCATACGGTTTCTCTACGAATATACAACGGTTTATCAAGAATACAGAGGTGAAAAATATCGACGGTATTTACTGAGAATAATGACGTTAATGCCACGGTTGTCTGCGATTGGGTCACGGATCACCAAGATCAGTCTCCTACAAATGAAACGTGGATATTCTTAGTATATAACCTTAGCAGAACCCTAGCACATCTGGGAGTATCCGTAAGACATTTGTAGCGACTTCATAGATATTTCTACCACGAATGAGCTACGAATCTCCAAGAAAATTTACAAATAGTCACGAATTGTCCTACGCATGTCTCACAGTTAGTTGTACTACGGATTAATTTTCATGACGGTTCACCACGGAAGTTATGAACAGTTTGAAACTTCCGTAGCCCCTCCACGAATACCCAAGGAAGGTGACAGATAACCACGGAGGTACTAAGCACGAATACGGTACTCCCACGGTTTATCACGAATTTCAAACCGTGGAGATCTGTACGTAGCTCCAAACCGTGAATGTGTGACGGGGGCCTACAACAATTTATTCGTCACCGGCACCACGAACTGTACACGTATTTTTGGGTGTCAGTTCGTGAAAACCTCGTAATCAACAATTTCGGTTTCACGAACTGACACCCGGTATACTGCATGGGCGGATTCAGAACACAATTTTTTTTTGGGGGGGGCAAAAAACAAATTTGGTCCCCAAAAAGTGTGTCCCAAAAAAATTATGGCGTGGGGTTCAGGGCCCGCTTCAGGGACCCGAAAATGTTTGGATTCTAGATGCTCTGTGGTGCGATCTGTGGTGCGATGTTTTTGAGGAAAATATGGTGGTGTACTCAGTGTCTGCCTTTATTGTGAAGCCCCCTTTGGCCCCCCCCCCCCATCCGCCCTTGGTATACCGGTAGTGCGCGCGCGCATTGACACTGACGCCCTATAGGAAGATTTTCGTTTTCGCGAACTGACACCCAATCATGATGCGGCAATCCATAACGGAAGAAAACGGGTTGAAAAATTGGACACGAATTTATTCCATCCGCATACTTGTGTGCTTATACAAAATTTTAATTTAAAAGCGTTTTAATTGGTGAAATTAAGAAAATGTACGGGGTGCGCTCTAAAAGTGCCGCACTGTGGAGGATGTCAGTTCGGGAAACACAAAATATCCCGGTTTTGTGCAGGGCACTCACGCGCACTTGAGTGTCAGTTCGTGGTGCTGATGACGAATCAAGACGATTTCAGTGTTTGCGCCTATCATTTTCCCTTCCCCGTGCTGCCCCACCCAAGACGTCACTTTTGAAGTGACAATATCCCTACCCCTCAGGCAAAATTTAAGTGACAATTTTCGACATACATACAGGGGGGGGGGGAGACTAGTGATCGCCTGTCCATTCAGTACGTCAATGGTAACACTTTCTGGAGTGATCAAAAAAGTCCACACCCGGCCCTGGGTCATGAAAAATGTTACTAAACCCCGATATCGGACCTGGGGCAGTGGAAGGGGGGTTAGGGAGAACATTTCGTCGCCATCTTTACGAAGAGGCGAATTTAGTCCTTCACCGTCTAAACAAACAATCGAGATTATCGCGTTTTAAGTTTGTCCTTTTTTATTTAACAATATGAAACGTAAATTTACAAAGAATGTGCAAGATTTTGGTAAAAGAGGAAAGAAGAGATTCTAATCTTCCTAACTGTAGCAAACTTTAAAAACAGTGGTTGATTAGTTTTGCATAATTAATCAGTTAAGTGACGTGGCTGTTCGTGAAAACGAAAAAAACCGACAAATTAGCAAATTCGCCCCTGTTGCTGTGAAATTCGGCCCTTCGCCAACGCTAGAGTCAGTACGCACAGACTGATGTCGCCCTACTAGTACTGCGCTCTCTGTGAAGTACCGAAGTCGCTTTTGTCCTGGATTTTAAACTACTTGACAAATCGCTCGCAGTATGTTAAAATGAATGCTGCTGGCACGCCATCTAGTTCGATATATTCAAATACTGGCGCTCCACAGGGTACAGTTCTGGCTCCTTTCCTGTTTTCGTTGTATACATCAGATTGTCTGTCTTCTGAAATGTCATGCCCATTAATTAAATTAACCGACGACACTGCGATGATTGGACTGATTAGTAAGGATGATGAGCAGTTATATAAAAATCAACTTCAACAATTTGTCAACTACTGTGATTCGAATTACTTCAAATTAAATGTCTCTAAAACAAAAAAAATGGTTATAGATTATTGGAAGTCACGTCGCCTTCTAGAACCTGTTACCTTGAAAGGCAGTGTTGTAGAACTTGTCACATGTTACAAATATCTGGGTGCCGTAATTGACAATGAATTCAGTTGGCATGAACATGTGGATTTCATTGTAAAAAAAAATAATTCTCGCATGTTCTTCCTCAGGAAACTAAATTTGTTCTATGTTGATCGTAGAATTCTGGCAACTTTTTATGACACTGTGGTTGCTAGTGTTTGGGGCTACTGTCTAATATGTTGGGGTGGAAATGTTGGGAAATGTGAAAAAGACCGCATAGATAGAATTATAAAACAAACAGGAAGGATTTTTGGGGAGTCGCGGCCGTTAGTGGACACAGCATAAATTATGAAACTGTGTTTTATAATGTGTCGATGTTGTTATTGTATGCGAGCATTTTATATTACCCCAGTGGGATATAATAAAGATTTTTTGATTTGGTTTTTTATTTTTAATAATCCGGTTCGTTCGTAAAAACGTCATACACGCACGTGCACCACTGATTACGAGCGCCCATTGGATAAAATGCTCGAGTTGCGTTACAGCTATAAGCTCCGTGCGCCAACTGTAACATCAAGAAAAGAAAAAAATATTGCTGTAACTATATTCGCTGATTACGGGAGGGGCGAAAACCCCGCGAAAACCTTTTTGGGAGAAAACACGGGGAAATTCCCATCCGGCTCCTTATTATCTTATTTTTATGGCAACCAAGTTTGTTTAACTCCGTAGATTAGCACATATCTAGATTTGTATAATCAGAGAAATCAGCGGCAAATACACAAATAATTATTTGCAGAAATATTATTACTGACTGAACGTTTTACGTAGTTCAGATTTGAATGAGGCTAGTGAAGTCATGGTTCTCAACTGCACATGTAAGTTATTCCAGATGATTGTACCAGATACAGCAAAGCTTGAGGCATAACATTGGGGGTTTTTTTGCAAAAGGAATCCTCAAAGCCATATCAGAGGATTGTCTCGTTTCACGAATCTGAATAAGTGGTGTAAACATATTTGTCATATACAAAGGAGTAATTTGTTTATACATTTGCAAACAAGAATAGCCTTTTTATACTCTACTCTTTCAGCAAATGACATCCAATTAAGATAAGTCCAACGCTTCATAAGTCCGACGCCTCATAAGTCCGCCACGCCTCATAAGTCCAACGCCTCATAAGTTCGACGCATCATAAGTCCGACGCCTCATAAGTCCGACGCCTCATAAGTCCGACGCCTCATAAGTCCGACGCCTCTAAGTCCGATGACTCATTGGTCCGATGCCCCAACGCATCATAAGTCCGACGCCTCATAGGTCCAACACCCCATACATGTAGGTCCGACGCCTCATAGGTCCGACGCCCCATTATAGGGTCGACGCCTCATAAGTCCGACGCCTTATAAATCCGGAACACGTATTTTCCGTTGTCGAAAATATGAGGCATCGGACTTGTGAGGCGTCGGAGTTGTGATGCCGATTCCCTAAGTTCAAGGCCTCATAAATCCTACGCCTCATAATTCCAAAATTCGGACTTATATAAGAGGCGTCGGACCTAATGAAGTCGACGCCTCTTATATAAGTCCGACTTTTTGGAATTATGAGGCGAATGACAGCTTGCAAAGGCAAAGCGTCTGTCGTTGTCAAATAAAGCTTATCCAATTACGTACTAAGACGCTGTAACAGAGCATTGAAATTCATGAACCCCAAAACATGACCTTTTGAACGTTGTGTTTCTCAGAAACTAGGTTCGGTATGATTGAAATGTTAAATTATAACGGAAGAAGAAAAATCGCTGTCATCGATGCCGAAACGTCAACACTGGTTACTGGTAAATCAGACCTTCAAGTCGGGAAGAAATCGTTCGAAAACTTCCCCAAATATATGTATTTATCACAATTTGTAGGAATCTACTCAAGTTGTTATTTCACGAGTACATGTAATTGAACACTTGTCTTATATCATCTAACTATATTCCGAATTTCAGCTTTATCTGTTGATGCGAACGCTTGTGTTCAACCTGCAATGGAAAATTTCGACGAGGATTTTTTGCCTACTAAACCCACGTGTTTGGTTTTCCTATAGCACAATAGGCGCTACGGTTGACCAATTTCGGCCCGGCAACACAATGGACGATCGAATATTAGCATATTCATTAGCGTCACTGGCGTCACTCGGCGAGCCTTTGCTGGGAGTCTCGGTATCGACCCATGGAAGCCGGGGAAAAGGGTGATATTTATCAATTAAGAACTCGTAAAGGAGGATTTTATGCAAACTGCACACCATAATGGATAGGAACATTATTGATATTCGTGAGGCTTTTGTAGTTTCATTCAAAATAAAGTGTAAACCTTTAGAAATCGCCCTTCGCAACCACATGCTGATGATGAGGCGTCGGACTGACGATACGGCCCAACGATTGATCGGCACAAAATTCTGTGTATGGTGTATATTACATTTTGAAACACCGCAAACCCCCGAATGTGATTGTGAATTCTATTGAAAATAGTTTGGGGATTGGTTTTAACAATGAGAGTCCAAAATCAGATCCACAGCCCAGCTTCACTTTGAGGTTTGAGCCGTGTAACCCTGAGGTAACGATGTTTTCTTTGTCTGAGGTGTAATAACTCGAGCCGGACTCGAGTCCCATTTTGGCGACTCGACACAACTAGACTCGAGTTCCAACGGGCAAAGACTCACTCAACTCTAGTCAGTCACTTCTCTTAAAATGAATCGATCGTTTCTATACTGCCTCACCATTCACGACATGGCTACAAGCAAGTTACTCTCAGCTTTTGGTCTTTCTAAAGTCAAACTATACGTGTACATGTAAGCATACACGTTTTTCTATGGTGGCCCTGAAGGGACATCGCATATCGCAAACGTGTGCGCATACGTATGCGATGTCGCGAAATTTATCGCGAATGTATGCGCACACGTATGCGATGTCGCAAAATTTATCGCGAATATGTGCGCACACGTATGCGATGTCGCGAAATTTATCGCAAATATATGCGCACACGTATGCGATGTCGTGAAATTAATCGCGAATATGTGCGCACACGTATGCGATGTCGTGAAAACAATTCGCGAATATGTGCGCACACGTATGCGAATTTGTTTGCAATGTCGTGAATTTTATTGCATACCTTGTCGCATACCTTTCAGTAAAATTCCTAATGAACTGGGGAGTTGTAGCAGCTAGTCTGGAATCTAGACGTACTGTTAGATATAAATAGGGTCTGACTAATAAACCTTCGCGCGCACGCTGTTCCTCGTGCAATCGTTATTACTAGTACTGTCGAGCGCAAACTTGCTACTTGCGCAACTTTGAAATTTGCGCGCGCAAGTTTCAAGTGCCCTTACAATCTTCAATTTTCAATAAACATCTGATTTTTCCCAATTCCGCTTAAAAAAAACAAGGTCTACCCCTTTCAATCTGCAATTTTCCAGAAACATCTGATTTTGCCCTAATTTGGCAAGGTTAACCCCTAACAACTTTTGACTTTTCATACAAATCTGATTTTGCCCAATTTTGCTAAAATCAGATTGCGCAACTTTGAAAGTTGCGCAAGTAGCAAGTTTGCGCTCGACAGTACTAGTAGTAACGATTGCACGAGGAACGAGGAAATGGATTAAAAAAAACACCCAGACACAGCAACAAAGGCTGTGGTCACGCACTCTGTATTAATTATGTTAAGCGGCACGCGCCCGGCTAGCTGTTGTGGCATCACAAAACACTGCATCGGAATTGACCAATCAAACATTTAGTCCCGAATTGGAAATGAAATGTTGTCACGATTTAGTAAACTCGACTCCCAATAGCTGAGGCGCGAGATCGCATAAATCTGCATGCTTGATATGTCAGACGTTATACTGAAGACTTGGCTCCGTGGATAACGGGTGATACCCAGACTAGGCTTGACATTCGATAGGCCTACCTCCTATAACTATTGTGCCTATTTTGTATATACATACAGATTCGCCACTTACTTCAGTTGAATGAGAGTTTGTAGAACTCGTACCTTACGTGCGTGCTTCTCTGCTGAACAGCAATCCTACTATGCGAAGAGTAATTTCGAGCAAGGCCTTTTCAATAAGCTGATCAAAGGCCATTATGCAAATTATATTGAAACGTTGCATGATCTCAAAGATCAATGCAAATTCTATTGAAAGGTTGCATAGCCCTGGTGCTTATTCCCCAGGATTCCTTTGAAATGGAAATAGCTACACAATGCATAAATAACCAGCTCTCAAGGCTTCTTGCAAGGACGCCTTTGAAAACATTGAAAAATAAATAGACCAATCCAAAATAATGTACCATCGCAACGGTGACGGTAAAAGAGTGTCATCACGCAATGTGGGAATCTGGGTAAATTCGCAACGCCCATGCAGGGCAAAGTGGGAATTTCAACACTTATCGCCGCAAAGTACACCAAAATAAACAAAACTGCCATTTTGCCAAGGTTCAGTAGTGGCGCAATGTAGGAATCGTACACTCTAAAAGGTCCTGGTACAGAGTCGACACGGTATCCGGGTCATAGGGCCTGAACCTTTTCTGGGTCAAAAACCATTACCAGCACGTTGTCGTAAAAGTTGGTACCTCGATCCGGTCTCAACTTTTTCTTTCAAATGGGGCTTGCGGTCGCTGCCGAAGTTAATTGAACGTGATGTGGAATAATAAATAACTGTCTGATATTTTCTACACAAACCTCCGGTGAAGGGGGTTTTGCATAGAAATTTCAGATACCAACGTTTACGACAATGTGTTAGTAATGGGGGCTTCGGAAAGACGCTAGCATCATTTAATACAATTCTATTTTTGCCAAAGTGTATGTGGGTGTATGGGTTGTTGGGTGAGCACACGAGAGCATTAATCTATATTTTGTTTGCTTGATTTCTATGGTTTTTGTTTATTATTTGAATATTTACTTCCTTTTTGTGGGGTGGGCGTGGTTATTTTGGAAAGCAAATATCTCCAAGGATGGGGAGGAATTGTTTCATCGTCACTGAAGATTATATATAGCAGGTTCATTGTCTTTAATGGATATCCCCCGATCCGTCCCCCACCCACCCACCCCACCATGGGCGATTTTTTTCTAGAGGGGGGCAAAACATATTTTCCCCCCAAAATTCTTGTATTTCTCAACAAATTCTCGATTTATCAGTTTTAGAGGGGGGCATGGACATTTTGCCCCCCCCCCCGACTCATTAAATTTACACCACTATGACTTCGCGCCTCTTTTTCTTTTCTTTCTTTTCTCTTTTTTTTCTTTCTTCCTTTGCTTTTCCAGGGGGGGGGGGGCAAGCGCCCCCCTTGCGCCCCCCCCCTCGCGACGCCCATGCACCCCACCATAGCGCACGAAGTTTCAACAGTAACCCCCCAACCAACCCCCCCCCCCCAACCCCCCCCCCCCCCCCCAAACCATTCCAGTTAGGGTTACGTTTCATCAGGGTAACCCTCCGTTTGGGTTATTACGATCTGTTAGGGTTGCCAACACCGTTTAGGGTTATGATCTGTTAGGGCTCCTCCGTTAGGGTTAAGGCTGGCCTTAGCTATCGTGCCAGGGTGTGATACAGGTTCCCAAGCCTGCATGCAGCCATTTTGCAAGTGGCATCCTTCCACTTCCTCGGGCAAATATGACCCACTTTGCAACCGTAATTTTATCAAGCCTGCCCCCAAATGGAAGTCCAAAATCCAGGGAGATGATTCTTGGACATATATACATAATTCCATCAATTTTAAAGCCAAACGGTCTCCGTTTTCAAAAGAAATTGTGGGGTCACATTTTATGCTAATGAGCTCGCGTAGAAATTCTCACTCTGCACAATCAAACGCGAATTAATTGCGGCCTCTGTAGTTCGATTCGCGCCAGTCGGATATCGTTGTTATAATCGCTGTAATAATAATGACGTTATCGGCACTCTTTGTGGGTTGGCCAAACGAGTTTTATTCTTGAAAATGTACACTACGTACACCACCTACAAACTCAACTAAAGCAATACGTTTGAAACCTTCTAGCTTTCATATTTTATATTGGGCGGAATTTTTGGCTTATTCGGGGACAAACAAAACTGCCCCCCCGCCCCTCCAAAAAATTGTTTTCTGCCGGCATTGTCCGGCCATTACCAGCACGTTGTCGTAAAAGTTGGTACCTCGATCCGGTCTCAACTTTTTTTTTTCAAATGGGGCTTGCGGTCGCTGCCGAATTTAATTGAACTTGATGGGGAGTAATAATTAACTGTCTGATATTTTCTACACAAACCCCCGGTGTAGGGGGTTTTGCATAGAAATTTCAGATACCAACTTTTACGACAATGTGTTAGTAATGCGACACTTTTCCTGGTCAAAAGACCCCTTTTTGGGTCAAAATGAGATTTTTCCGGGCGAAATGGCCAAAAAAAAAAAAATTCGGTCTCTGGTCAGACCGAAGCTCCGGTGTGACAGGTAATTCTGTCCCCCCTCGTAAATGTGTCCCTCGGACGCATTTACCGGCTCATGACCCGGTAAATATGTCCGGGGGACACTTTTACCTATGTAGATTTGTCCCCCTCCAGGTAAAAATTTCCCCCTGCCCAACGGTGAAAGTGTCCCCCTGGTAAATGTGTCCCCATGCAGTATGGAACAGCAGCGTGTCGCGTCGCGCCAGTACATGCTGCAAGATTTGTGGCAGTGATTATCACACGTGTACATACGCGTCTCCCTCTACAATGGAAATTCATCCAATAGGAAATTTCGTTACGCGCTAGGATGGGAACACAGACCAATCCAAGTAGGCGTTGTATCAATGAGACGAGGGCCATCGCCATGCATCGCCGCTGTATTGGCCTATCGCGGTAGAATTGCGATAGATTTCACCGTACTCCGAATCAAAACATTGTGTTCACATATTATCTAATAGACCAAATTAAATTATGAAGGGCAGACTAAAAGTCCAAAATGTATACGTTGTAGAGTGAATTCATAAAAGCAATAAAGAGAACTGGCCTTCCGGGTTTCAAAAGAGGGGGACAAAAAAACCCGGGGGCGGGACAGAATTACCTGGAGGGGGACAGAATTAACGGGCCGGGGAGGACACTTTTACCTAAGTAATTCTGTCCCCCCGGACACTTTTACCGGGGGACAGAATTACCACACCGGAATTGATGTAGACTTGACTCAAGTCGGAATTGCTTTAAGTCGGTATCTTAATTTAAAAAAGAAAGTAGCAAAAATCACTTAGTTTACGTCTTTCCAGAACCCCGACAAGCAGTGACAAGGTACACTTCAGCGTGCGTTCCACCTCAGTGATTGCACCAGCAGCAGGCCTGCGGCGCGGTGACGCGTGTCGCGTATAATTTTGCCAATTATCCTCATTGAAGTCCGCCATGAGAGTCACACGTGTATCGGCGGCTGATGCACGTGCGCGCTAGCGATAGGTTGAGTATTACTACGCGTGCCTTCTTGCAGAAACATAGATCGGTTGATAAACATCTAAACGTTAATTTCATTTTGATAATTATTCATGAAGGGTGGACAAATCTAAAAATGTATACCTGTGCGCTGAATTTATTGTAATAACATCAGTATAACAACTTATGCGTGCAAAACCAGGGGGGACAGAATTAACTGGAGGGGACAGAATTACCTGGAGGGGGACACAATTAACGGGACAGGGGGGACACTTTTACCTAGGTAATTCTGTCCCCCCGGACACTTTTACCGGGGGACAGAATTACCGTCCACACCGTAAAACAATGCGCACACACTGTATGTACATTGTACAATACGCGTATTATACGTACATGTGTGTGCATGTAGCAATTCCACTTGAAAATAACATGTACATGTACGTTTTTAACATGATGGTCCGGATTCGACGCATGAGGGCGCGCGTTATGTACTGTAAGTATGCGATATGCGCTGTGAATGGATTTACTATAATAGGCACAGACTGAGCGCAACCCAGACTTGGCCAAGTCTAGAATTGATGCGGCGACGCGTTTTGGTTTTTTTTTTTTTTTTTTTTTGGTGGCTTTTTTTTTTCAAGCTTGTATTGAACAGACAAGTATTGTATTGTACAGTACAAGGTGGGTACTATTTTTGCTTTTTTGTGTCCTCATTATACATTGGTGTCCTCCATAATTTGCCTTGGTGCCCTTTATCATTTGCCTTGGTGCAATTTCCCCATTCCTTGGTGCTCCTTGGTACAAAAATTTAGGGAGACGCGGCAATAGAGGGCGCTGTTGTAGCTTCCGTGTTAATTTGAAGGGAAAAAAGGTTGACGCGCATGATTAAAATCGACGCGCGCGCTGACCAGAGACCGAGTATGGTTTTTTGGGGGCCTAAACTTGGGTGATTTTAACACCCCTTTTTCTATGGCAAATTAAATGAAAATTTCACGAAATTCCTACTTTGCCCAGGTTCGGGAGTATGTATAGCGCATAAAATACCCTTGTGTCATTTCACTTGAACAGTTCAACAGTTACAGCCCGATAGTCCGAAGGTTCGATAGTCCAAAGGTTCTTTAGTCCAAAGGCTCATTGGTCCGAAGGCTCGTTAGTCCGAAGGTTCAATAGTCCGAAGGTTCGATAATCCGAAGGTTCGATAGTCCGAAGGGCCCATTAGTCCGAAAATAGAATAAGGTAAGGTTCGATAGTCCGAATAGACGATAGGGTTCGATAGTCCGGATCGACAATAAGGTTCGATAGTCCGAATAGATGATATTAAAGGTTCGATAGTCTGAATATACGGTAGGGTTCGAAAGTCATAATTGACAATAAGGTTCGATAGTCCGAATTGAGAATAAGGTTCGATAGTCTGAATGGACAATACGGTTCGTCAGTATGACACTTCGGACTATCGGACCTTACTGTTGATTCGGACTGTCGGACCTTATTGTCGATTCGGACTATAGTCTTTTCGGACTATCGAACCTTATTGTCAATTTGGAATAATGAACCTTCGGACTATTGAACCTTGTTTTCGTTTCGGATTATTGAACCTTCGGACTGATTAACCTTATTCTAAATTCGAACTTTCGAACCCTTCAGATAAATGAACCTTCGGACTATCGGACCTTCGGACTATCGGGCGGCCCCTATGTCCAACGTTGTA